TTGCTATGAGTTATCATTTAATTGGAGATCTCGAAATGGCCAATAGTATATTGGAAACCTTCAGCCAATCACAGGCACCAATAGTATGTAGATTAAATGAATTATTCCTAAATATTACCCCTAATAATTGATTTTATTGTATATATTTTACTGGTAGGAAACACATGACTATCGCCATTCAGAACTTTTATTGTATCAAAACCAAATCCTAGTAGAAGCCGGTAATCTTCAGCGTGCACTCGAACATTTAAAACAATACGAGAGTCAAATTGTTGATAAGCTGGCGGTGCAAGAGTCAATTGGCGATCTGTATATTAAACTCGGACAACCCGAATTAGCTGTATCTATCTTTGAGGAGTTGATTCATCGGAATCCCGAGAACACACTGTACTATTCGCAATATTTTGCAGCTCGTGAATACACGGAAGCCGCAGATAAGTTGACTGCTTTCAAAAAATTTGAGCAAATTTACCCGCGAGCCATGTGTCCAAAACGTTTGCCATTGGATGTGGCAAGTGGCGATGCATTTAGGTCGGCACTTGATTCTTATTTACGTCGTGGTTTGCGTAAAGGCGTACCGCCATTGTTCGTAAATGTTCGTGTTTTGCATCGTGTGCCAGAAAAGGCATCAATTATCGAACAACTAGCCTTACAATATTATGAAAATTTGACACGTTCTGGGCACTTTTCGAGAGAAGATGCCGAAGCAAATCTACCTGTGGAACCGGCGTCAGCACTGGTTTGGACTGCTTTGTTTTTGGCACAACATTACGATTACAAACGCGACACGGAGCATGCCCTAGAATACGTTAATGCGGCTATTGATCATACACCCACGCTTATTGAGTTATTCATGACCAAGGGACGTATTTACAAGCACGCTGGCGATCCCGTTGAAGCCTATATGTGGATGGATGAAGCGCAGAGTATGGATACGGCAGATCGGTGAGTTTGAGTCGATTCAAGTAATTTCAGCTGACAGCAATTATATTACAAAATATATTTTGAGTTCGTTATAATATATTATTTTTTATTTAATTGTCAGCTACATAAACTCAAAATGCGCCAAATATATGTTGCGCGCCAATATGGTTAAGGAGGCTGAAGAGATTTGTTCGAAATTCACACGTGAGGGAGTTACTGCCATGGAGAACCTAAATGAAATGCAATGCATGTGGTTCCAAACGGAGTGTGCACTGGCTTACCAGCGCATGGGACGTTGGGGTGAAGCCTTGAAGAAGTGTCACGAAGTAGACCGTCACTTTTCGGAGATTATAGAAGATCAGTTCGACTTTCATACATACTGTATGCGCAAGATGACGTTACGTGCGTATATCGGACTATTACGACTGGAAGATGTGTTACGTCGTCATCCTTTCTATTTCAAAGCGGCAAAATGTGCCATAGAGGTGAGTAGAAATGTGTTAAACACATTATGATATAATCTTCATTTCTTAAATTTACTTCTAGGTCTACATACGCTTATACGACAAACCACTTAAATCGGAAGAAACCATTGAAGAAATCGATTCGGGTATGAATTACGATTACGTCAAGTATTTTGAATATTTATAGCTCATTTTCAATTTTAAACTTGCAGAAAATCTTCCGCCATCGGAGCTTAAGAAGTTGCGCAGCAAGCAGCGCAAAGCCAAGAAGAAAGCCGAACTGGAAAACGCACAAGCGGCACAAGCGCAAGTCAAGCGCGAGCAACATCAGAAATCCAAGCAGCAAGCAAATCAAGAAGCTGATCCAGAAGCGCCACAATTGGATGAGCTCATACCAGAGAAGTTAGAGCGACCGGATGATCCACTCGAAAAGGCTATTGAATTCCTCAAACCGTTACAACAATTGGCCAAAGATCGTATTGAAACGCATTTATTGGCATTTGAGATATACTGCCGCAAGAACAAGATTCTCTTAATGTTGCAATCCATTAGACGTGCTATGGCAATCGATGCGACGCATTCATCGGTACACGCTTGCATAGCTAGGCTAGCGCAGGCATTGCCCAAGCTGACAGCTGACCAAGAGTTGAATGAGAGCATTAAAATTGTCATTGACAAGGCCATCAAAGAACTGATAGGTACAAAGAGTGTACAACAACTGAACGAAGAATTTGTGGCGCAAAAAGATGCTTCCATAATGCATCTGTACGAAGGCGCACGTATCATGTATGAACTGGAGCCAAGTAAACGGGATACAGCCATCAATTTGATTACCTCATACGACTTAAATAAAGTTAAACTGGAAGTAAGTAGTGTTGTAGTGAAGTCAATTAGCCGAATAATTGCATTATTACACCCTGAACACACAAAATGAAACGTCTGAGCCCCAGATATGTCAGAACTCTGCACTCCGGCCTATAACGTATTGATGTCGAACACATACACAGTGGGTCCTGTATGCTTCCGGTTAAGAAACATAACGAACTCCTCGCCAAGCATTTTCTGCTTTGTTTTCGCAGTTTCCTTTAGCGGATAAAAATCCGGATCCGTTACGGTTACTTAGACTCGACTGTCAGTTCCCACAACCGTCCGTCCACTTTATATACGCGAATTAGTTGGTCAGTTTTTAAAACATCGATCTGACATCTTGCACACGTATTTTTCTCACTAAAAAGCTGTTCATTTGTCGGTCGCCGTCGATATCGATGCCATACAAACTAACCGATCAAACCCTGTCCTTGTCTGCAAAACTTTTGTTTTTGACAAGATAATTCTGCGAAAACTGCCATAGATTATTAAACAAAGCAACGCTACAATCTTCGAATATATTGTTCAAATCGGACCCATATAGCTTATCGCTGCCAATCAAATTGACTTATCCAAATTCAAGATATACCCTTTATGCTTGAAAAATGCACCCGTGTAGGGTATTATAGTTTCGGTGCAGCCGAAGTTAACATTTTTTCTTATTTTCTTGTTTTTTTTTATTTTAAATTTTTAATCTTTATTAATATTTCCATTTTATTTTATTTATATTGTAAAGGAAGCCACGAAAATCTACGAAGCGCTGCGTGACGGTGTTTTCGGCGATTGCGATACGGAATTGAGTCTATACCGTGCTAAGTGTCAGCAACGTTTCACGTATGCACGTCTCTTCAAGGACATTGTGGACACACCAAACGCCGTTTCCACTGAGGATAATCATGTGGATGAGAAAACAAAACCGAATGCTATATCTGCTGATGTGAAGACTGCGGATTTGTAATACACAACTGCAATATGCATATGATATGCAAAACAATTTTAAAAAATATTTACAATAACAAATGGAGCAAGAGTGAAACAATATCCAGCAGCCGTGTAACACCAATTAAATCAATAGATAACATCCTAGTTACCTACATTAATAAATTCACACGCATACACACATCAATTAAACGCTGAAATTTAAAAGTTTAATCTGAATAAATGTCTTGACTAACAATCTACAAAGCGAAGTAGGGGAAAATAAAAAAGCTCGAACATTCATTATAGCAGAAGAAACATCCGAGAAACCATTATATCAGCGCTTAACTCATGCGCAAATTAGCAATTACAATAAATACAATTATAAAACAGACTTCACTTATATACATACATACAAACGTGCATAGTTTACTATATGGTACGGTTGTAGGAAAATAATAGTAACTATGCATATAACTCGAAACATTATGAAGGAGCTCAAGTGTATGTGAGTACGCCGTGGGTGCGCAATACAAGAAAGTAAAATAATTATAAATTCACAAAATGTCTGCGAATTGTCGAACGTTATCTATTATTTCTTAAACCAAATGCATATACAATATTTCTATTATAAATTTTCACATTTTATTTTTTCTACGCTGAAGTTTGAGGCTGTCAGCGCGTCAAATTGTGTTAAGTAGTTATTAATATTGTTTTATTTCTGAACTAAACACTACTAACTATAACCATTTTCAACAATTATTTTGCAATAGCACGTGAACTTTCGTTTTATCTTTTCATAGTTGGAGAGCAACAAATTTGAAAAGAATAAAATTAAAAGCAACTTTGAAAAGCACTAGCGCCTCTAGTTCAATGAATGAATGAAATGCCAGTTAATGGAAAATTTGTTAAAAATACAGTAAAAATGCATTATGACCAGTATTTGTGCAAAAAAATTAAAAAATAAAAGTTTCAAAAGCATGGCACTAGTGCAGATAAATTATTGGTCGAGGGCAACAATGAAAGTAAATACCAACACAAACAATATCTTTTCCAAATATATTATGCATAGCTCATTCCTGTTTTTATGAATATGCTCTCATATATACATGCGTACTATATACATATGTATGTACGTAATAATGGGTAGGAGTGATTTATATAGGCGAGCCAATAAAAATTCCTAACAAAAAGTTGTTGCGCTGCATATTTATTACGCAAAAATAAATTAACTAATAAATGCCGAAAATATTAACAAATTTAGTATTTACTAAAATAAAAGCATCGCATTAGAGATCTGTGTTTTAAACTAATTTATAACTACTAAGCGTAGTTAAGCTGCGGGCGCATCGACTATTTTCAGTGTTTCCTTTTTTATAAAATACAAAAACAATTAATTTTTACTTATTTACAGTAGCTCGTGAATAAATAAAATAGTAGACACAATGAAATATAAATTAAAAACACAATCACGGAGTTTGATTAAATCACAATTTTGTACAGACGAAAATCAGGTGAGTTGCTAAATTCTATAGTATGTTTGTTTACAACGAATTATTTGAAATATTAAAATGAAGAAGTGACATTTGTTTCCGTTTCTCATTCGCTCGCTGGCAAAAGCAACGAGTAGTAGTTATTCAAAAATAATACACGTCTTAAATTAGCTTTTTCAGTTGCGAAATTTTAAGTTTACATTTTGCAATTGCTATTTACACATACTAATCTGTTAAATATTAACCAAATTTTATATAATAATTGTATTCAAATTTAATTTAGTTTACTAAATTAACATCCTTAACAAAAATTTATGAATCGAAAAATATTTCGTTAATAAATAATTTCCATGCTGCTAGCAACCCTACTTCCGTTTCCTAACTGTTCTTTCACATCAACGAGTAAACCGAACAGCTGAAGTCAGCAACTGCAATTCGTTCTTTGCAAGTGAATTTCTTTTATATGATGTGTTGTGCCAATGTTATAAGTAAATAAAATAAGTGTTGGTTTTTGTGGTATGATATAATTGAGTGTAGTAATGTTTTTCATACAATATAGTTGCTGTTGAAAAATATTTGTTTTATTTAAACAGCAACAGCGTATGAGTGTCGAAAACATGCGCAGTCATGCGAGATTTATCTGAAGTTTGTTTTTGTAAAGCTTTCAATGGCTTCAAGTTGCTGATTTCATGTGAAAAATATGCTATTAAAGCAATTTCATAAATAAATTTATAAAGTGTGTAATTGTAAAGTGTATAATTGTAAAGTTTTCGCATTTGCGCAGGTAAATTGCACTTCGTGTCATATGTATATGTTTGTATCTATGCTTGAGCAAATTATTGGTAAGTTTTTTTTTTAATTATTAAATATTTAGGCATTAATATATAGTTTCATCTGTACTTATGATGAAATCTCAAATTTTACATTAACTTCGGTAAATTGCTTTGAGCAAAATAATAAATATTATTATATGAAAAGAATGTATCGAGTGGTTTGTTATCGATATTTTAAAAACTGTTTTCCTGTATAGAAATCAAGTGATATATGTAATTAACTAAATTTTGTGAGTTATAGTTTTTAAATTTAATGTATTTTGAACAAAGAATAATGAAGTATTTCCTAAATATAAATATTGTGTCTTAGTGGCTATAACATTTTTTTTTTTATAATTTAAGTTTAAATAAGCGATAATAATAAGGAGAAAATGAGTAGTAGTAACTAAATAATTTTACTTGTTGCTGTTATTCAGACAAAATGGTTCGTTAGCTGGATAAAATGTGTTCCTAGTGAATCTGTGCATAATAATAGTAAATTAGGAATGAAATTTCTAAAATAAATAATAAATATATAAAATCAAGTTACCATCTGATCAAATTTGACTCGGACTCACAAAACTAAAAAGCCTCCTTTAGCGAATTTTCTCTTGCTATCTGATGTCAACACAACGATTTTCAATATTTCTTTAACTTAACTGGATGGACAACTCATATTGGGAAAGTCTTTACTAATTAATGGCTTTATGTTACTCGAAAACTTTTTTTCGTGATAAAGTAGCTTCACAAACAATTTTGAAGCTGTGATTAACTTGGAAGTTTTAATTTTAAGGAAGTAAGGCTGTTATTTTTTTTTTTTAAGTCAAAAATCGGTAGACAAACTTTTCGCGTCGTAAGAAAATGGCTGGTGAACGCCAGTCGAGTGGCCACCAAGATAGTATGATATCACATCGTTAGACTTTTTCCGGAATATGTAAAGTCTAAAGTCTATGCAGACTTCGATTCAGGCCTTGGAGCAAAACACCATTCGCGTGGCATACGCCAGTTGCCAGTCGAAATGATCGAACAAGTCATTGAAAATTGGGCTCAACGATTTACCCTCTGAGACGAAGCTGCGGCCAACATAGCATTTCCGATTAAATTTGAAGTTTCTGTGTTTTTTCCTAACAAACTAGGAACAAAACAGACAAAATGAAAATTTTTGCAATATACCAATAATTTGCGTACATTACCCATACAAGAAATAATATTACGTATAACTGTACATTAATCACATCGAAAAATCAAGTGCAGTAAATAGTTCTGTTCAATCGCATTCACCAAGGCAACAATACAGTCTACTCAATACGACAATTTATTTCTGCCACACAATCGATTGTTGGCTTACGGTCTTTAAATCGCTCATCCGCATCCGTTTCCACTTCCTAGTTACGTACATATGGTATTTACTCCCACAAATATGTATAATGCATATATCAGTATATAAGTGTATTGTTCATCGGGTTACTGTTGTAACGTAGCGTGTAATTATTGTAATTATGCATTAATGGCTTAATTGACAATAAAATCTCATTTAATTTAATTATCCTCCTCATTTTACATACAAACGGCACATTATATCAGTTCCATTTAATCTCAGCCAATGCATCCCTACATATCATACTCCAACTGATTATTTTCACTCAATTTCGGTGCGAGGGTCTGTTTGTTAGCGCTGATTTAATCTGGGTTGGCTTCATTTGGGAAATACAGTGTCAGCTTTTTGGCAATGAGAACCGATTTTTAAAAAGCATAACCACAATTTGTGACAGTTAGAGCAAGGTAATATCGATTGGTCATCGGCCTACGTGAAGTAGGCGTGACAACTAAACTATTCCTTAACAAATTAGAAAACAACCTCAACATTGGTTAATAAAAGGCATGTACATATATGTGGAGGTTATCATCTTCTTTTCTATCACTTTTTTAATGATTTTCATAACAACCCATTAGCAACTTGGAATGCCGCATGCCTTAGAATTGTTGCAAATACTCCTTCCTACCCACTCCTTTATCCTTGCACAGCAGCTTCTCTGTGATAAGGGGACCAACAGCATTGAAAGATTCGGTGTTGTGGATGCTGCAGAGCAGGTGAGCTCCTGCTTGGAATATGCTCTGAAAACTTCCCAAAGGTATGGAGAGTTCGGTACGTGGCCGTGTGACTCCTGCACCAGTTCTCTCCGTCGTTTTCGAACTGTCGGTGTACTACTTGATTTTATTAGGTATCCCTAAGCAGTAGCTCGAGAGCGAAATAATTCTATATACCCTTACTGCTACGGTTAATCTTGAACTTTTTAATGAAGCTTACACTTTTTTAATATTGTTCACTGGGAGAAGAGCCAGTGATATTTCGTCACTTAAGTCCTTCATGGGAAAGATATTACATTACCTCAGCCAAGCCCATCTGAAGTAGTGTGTGTTTAGCTACCTGACCGATTACAAGGTGATGCGGTGTGAGCTCCAGCATGACTTTAAGTGCCTCAAGTGCCGTCGTCGGGTCTGAACGCATGGCACCCGACACGCAGCAGGCGAATCGTTGCAGCTTCGATAGTTCAAGTCCTACCTGACGATTCTTGGCTTGCAGTCCCAGGATTTGCTAGCTAGTCCATTGCATATCATAGGTGCTTTAGTAGCTTCATAGTCAGGTCAATATGCTGCTTTCACCGGAGAGTATTAGTCATCTCTATCTCTCTGCCATAAACGATTAGGTTCATGAGACCGGGTGATTCCTTCAAAAAAAGGATGATATTTACCCTTTTTCATATTTTTCAAAAGGCAAAAAAAATTAAATATTTTAAATTTCCAGTATTCCGATTGTAGCTTCACATAGGGCTCCTAGGTCGATTAGTTAACAACTTTCTTGAATATATGCTAGTTCGGAAAGAGTCTGCTTGCGAAGAGTGCTCGAGCCCTAAAGAAGAGCTAATCATTTCAATGGCTTATAAGAAAAGAACGAGATGGAGTTTCATTTACAATTTTGAGAACATATTTTCCTAAAATTTTATAAAAAAAATTGATGAAATTAAAAATTAAATATTTCGAATCCTTTAACGCTATTTTTCCCCATAAAAATTTTAGCTGACGTGATCTATCTCTAATTACACATAAAAGTCAAGTAGATATATGGAATTATATCAAGCCACTGGCACTCATTTAGCATGCGCTAATTAATTGGTTTGGCAGGGTTTGTGGTGGAAACTAAAATATTAAAAATATCAACCAAAGTTCTGTGTAAAGTGAAATAACTTTGCCATTTCTTTACCAAAGATGACCAAAGAATTATTGGTTTGGGTGCCTAAACTTCAACCGGTTTTGGGTGAATAACTTTAATTAATGCTCAATACGGTTTCTTTAATGACAACATCTATTAAATATTCCTTCACTGAATAATGCATTTGCTCAACAATTATCGAATCATCGCGTAGACCAAATCATTATTTATTAATTTCTTTACTTTCCTTTGATTAATTGTGCGCTCATGTCATGGAGAAATTTGTGTCACTGGACACACGCGCACCGTGCATAATTGAATGTGACAGCATGCGGTTAATAATTCCGTTCCAACAAACGCATAACCCTACACGCCTACCTGTTATACGTGCCTTTCATATACCCTCGCACATAGTAGATATATGTATGTATTTGCATTGCATATTAATTTGTTGCGCTACAAAATACCTGCATAATGTTTCCCACTGTTGGTTTGTATTAAATACATATTCATTATGTTGTTATGCAGTTAAGCCGCATTTGCCTCACCACTTCGCTGCCGGTCGCTTCGCAAATAGGAAACGGTTTGAAGTTGGATACTTGGAGGATTTGCAGCACAACCGCTCAATTACCCCAAACACACAAAGGGGAAAACGGAAATCATAAATTGAACCAAATTCGCTTCCTGTTGTTTCGCTAAGATGCTTTGTGTTTTCATTCAAATATATAAGCATGAACACACAAATGTATTTAAATGAGCATCGTAATGATTTTGGAACAGAAAACTAGATTTCACAAGCAATTAAACATTAATGTTTAAATAAGACATGATACTAAATTAATGAAGACACATTATCATTATGCAATAATATATTATTGATTATTGTTGATTTTATATGTATATTGTAAAATAATTAGTAATTTAAATTAAATTAAATTTCACTGTCTGAAGAGGGGAAAAGAGGATTAGACCATTCAAAAGATTTACTTTTTTCTGTTTTTTTCTTTTCATAAAGTTAAAAAACGAAGGTTGCCAAATCTATATACATATATATATATATATATATAATATATAAAAATGAAATCCGTTTTCCGTTGTCACGTCATCACGCGTGAATGGCTGAGCCGATTTCTCTGATTTTTTTTTTGTAGTTTTCTAATATTCTGTACAAGGTTCTTATGAAAAACAATATTAAGAAAATCTCTCAGAAAGATTGAAAAATATACATTTAATTTTACATATTTTAAAAAACGCGCGTAACGAATGTAAAATTAATTCAATTTAAATGTCAACGTCATGCAATTAAAAAAAAAAATTTTTTTTGTAATCTGTTTTCATGTAAATTTTATTAAGTTTTTGATAAAGTTCTTTTTGTTTTAAAGACTAAGAAGGCTAATAAGTGTTTATTAATCACGGTAAGTTCAATTCACCTTATGTCGATTTTTGGTAACTTTTGGTGACTACACAATATTACAATTTGGTATACATAGTTAAATAGAAAAAATATTTGTTCTTTTTATTTTCTGTTGGATTTTCGTACGTACAAACTTAGGTCGCAGAACTCGAAATACGGCAAGCAAAGAAATATAAGAGCAAATTAAACAAATGAGCAACGCGAAGCGCAAAATGAACGACAAAGGAATCGAAATGAACATAGAAATGTTGTGTTTAATCCCCACAGAGCTGCATTCTGTTATAATGCGGCAATTGATTACAGTTCAGAGCAAATTGTTGCTATTTTACTAATGAATATTGTGTGTTCACATTGCAATGAAATTAATTTTCTTAATTGAAAAATGATAGCCGTCTTCACCTTGCC